CACATTCGCGAATTCCCAACTGCCAAATTCCCAGCCGCCAAATCATATTTAAGTTTCCCGCCACCTGCGAGTCCCTACTACCCTCCCTCCGACCCCCGCAACTGGCAGCCGGCCCTCCCACCACTCAGTGTGGTGAGTGTTTTATTTGTTCATTATTTGCTATTAAACTACAGTATAAATAATGTAAACCCATTCATGACTGCATATTGGAATGGCTATTCGGACAGGTATTAGACGGTGACATCATGTGTTTACTCTTGAACACAGCAAAGAATCAAACATTTCTGCTACATCTAATAATAACAATAATAGTAGTAGTAGTAATAATAATAATAATAATAATAATAATAATAATAATAATAATAATACGGTATAATTGAAGAAGGAAATTGTACAAAAATACGAGGGAGTGGTTGACACATCGTCAGTGTGACTTTGTTTATGCTGGAGTGAGCATTAGTGTTCGTGCTCTTCCAAACATTTCACAATAATTCATTGTGTTAGGTGCTTGTAGATTGAGTGTGACTGGAGTGGTAGAGGCAGTGGTTGAGGCAGCGGTTGAGGCAGCGATTGAGGCAGCGGTTGAGGCAGCGGTTGAGGCAGCGATTGAGGCAGCGATTGAGGCAGTGGTTGAGGCAGCTGTTGAGGCAGCGGTTGAGGCAGCAGTTGAGGCAGCAGTTGAGGCAGCGGTTGAGGCAATGGTATTTAATAACATACATGTTAAATGGGAGCCCTTTGATTGAACTTTGTATAGAAAGGGGTTTAGTTATAGGTAATACATATTTTAAGAAAAAGAGGATAAATAAGTATACAAGATATGATGTAGGGCGAAATGACAGTAGTTTGTTGGATTTGTATTGGTAGATAAAAGACTGTTGAGTAGACTTCAGGATGTACATGTTTATAGAGGGGCCACAGATATATCAGATCACTTTTTAGTTGTAGCTACACTGCCTCTATCACTGCCTCTACCACTGCCTCTATCACTGCCTCTATCACTGCCTCTACCACTGCCTCTATCACTGCCTCTACCACTGCCTCTACCACTGCCTCTACCACTGCCTCTATCACTGCCTCTATCTGCCTCTATCACTGCCTCTATCACTGCCTCTATCACTGCCTCTACCACTGCCTCTACCACTGCCTCTATCACTGCCTCTACCACTGCCTCTATCACTGCCTCAACCACTCCAGTCACACTCAATCTACAAGCACCAAACAATGAATTATTGTGAAATGTTTGGAAGAGCAGGGAGACTAATGTTCACTCCAGCATAAACAAAGCCACACTGACGATGTGTCAACCACTCCCTCGTATTTTTGTACAATTTCCTTCTTCAGTTATATCGTATTATTATTTATTATTATTATTATTATTATTATTATTATTATTATTATTATTAGCAGTAGCAGAAATGTTTGATTCTTTGCTGTGTTCAAGAGTAAACACATGATGTCACCGTCCAATACCTGTTCAAATAGCCATTCCAATATGCAGTCATGAATGTGTTTACATTATTTATACTGTAGTTTAATAGCAAATAATGAACAAACAAAACACTCACCACACTGAGTGGTGGGAGGGCCGGCTGCCAGTTGCGGGGGTCGGAGGGAGGGTAGTAGGGACTCGCAGGTGGCGGGAAACTTGAATATGATTTGGCGGCTGGGAATTTGGTGGCTGGGAATTTGGCAGTTGGGAATTCGCGAATGTGTGAAGCCCGCGAAAGCTGAAAACGTGAATGTTGAGGGAAACCTGTATATATGTTCTCTCGCCCAGCGCCCCAAATATTTTGCCAAAAAAAAACAAAATTTTTTTTTGTAGAAATCAAGAGCACATTTTTTAAGTGTTATAGGATAAAAAAAAAAAATTAGGGTCAGTACTTACCGAGATATGAGGCTGTGAAGTTGGCACTTGGTGATCACCTGACAGCAACATGGAGCGCTGTCGCTTGCAGAAATTCTACATATTACCATTTTTTTTTTTTTTTTTTTTTTTCATGATCTGATAATTATGTTTTATAGTAAATATTTTGATTTCAATGCCAATTGTTGTTTATACACCAATATTATGTACATAATTATTATCACATTGTCATAAACACACATGTACTCACTGACAGGTGTTTTTGCATACCTGGCTGAATCACATTCTATTATCTACAACTTTATACAAGTATTTACATGTCCCACTTATGTTTCTAGAATTCCACAATTGTATGATACTCCATGAAGCATGGATTCATACAGTGTGCCACCCCACACTGGTGATACATGAATCGTGTGTCCTTCCGCTGTTTGGGTCGTTTTGTGGTGGTCGCACACACAACACACTTTTTCTGGGAATTCTTCTTCTTTGGGGTAGGTGGTATTGGTACCAGGTGGTGACAGTTAGGGACGATTTGGTCTGGCACTTCCCCCACTGGCTGTGGTTATGGGACAAGTTGCTGTTGAGGGGCAGGTACAGGTGTGCTACCATACTTTCTTGCTATCTGTTTTACAACATTCAGGGAGAATTCTGCAAAATGTCGTTTTCCAGTCTTTATTTCATACATATTGAATGCATGTACACTCAACTACTGTATTTCTTTTGTACAACTATGTATCATGTCCAAATAATAATAAATAAATAAATTGAGCACTACAATGTCTACAAGGTGAGAAAACAGTTTTATATACGAATGACACAAATGACTTATACTGAGTTCAGTGACATTCCCCATAGCCAATATTTTGATGAAAAAACATTACTTATTCCAAATATTATTTATTCTGATGACGACTTAATGCGGGGGTCCACTGTATTTTATTCATTCTAGAGTATGTATCAGGTTTCTATGTTATCTATATTGTTTATTATGTTATATTAGATAAATTCTTCTTTCTTTCACACACCGGCCATATCCCACCGAGGCGGGGTGGCCCAAAAGGAAAAACGAAAGTTTCTCCTTTTACATTTAGTAATATATACAGGAGAAGGGGTTACTAGCCCCTTGCTCCTGGCATTTTAGTCGCCTCGTACAACACACATGGCTTACAGAGTAAGAATTCTGTTCCACCTCCCCATGGAGGTAAGAGGAAATAAACAAGGACAAGAACTAGAAAGAAAATAGAAGAAAACCCAGAGGGCTGTGTATATACAGTGGACCCCCGCATAACGATGGCATCACATAGCGATTATTTCGCATACCGCTTACTTTAATTGCAAAAATTTTGCCTCACATACCGCTTAAAAACCCGCTTACCGATTTTCGTCCGAGACGCGTCCAATGTGCGGCCTGAGCCACGCTCACATGTTCCGCCGGTGGCATTGTTTACCAGCCAGCCTCCGCGGTAACATCCAAGCATACAATCGGAATATTTCGTATTATTACAGTGTTTTCGGTGCTTTTTCTGGAAAATAAGTGACCATGGGCCCCAAGAAAGCTTCTAGTGCCAACCCTACAGCAATAAGGGTGAGAATTACAATAGAGATGAAGAAAAAGATCATTGATAAGTATGAAAGTGGAGTGCATGTCTCCGAGCTGGCCAGGTTGTATAATAAACCCCAATCAACCATCGCTACTATTGGTGGTACTGCTGCTGCTGCTGCTGCACTGTCAGCTGCTGCTGCACTGTCAGCTGCTGCTGCTGCTGCACTGTCAGCTGCTGCTGCTGCTGTAGCACCGTTGTTGGTGTGGCTTATTGAGAATACCAAGAAACAATTAACCCCAGAGGATTTGCCACCCAGGATAACCCAAAAAAGTCAGTGTCATCGAAGACTGTCTAACTTACTTCCATTGGGGTCCTTAATCTTGTCTCCCAGGATGCAACCCACACAAGTCGACTAACACCCAGGTGAACAGGGAAAAATGCCTGGAACTAGTGCTCATATTGGTGAATTTAAAGCCAGCAAAGGTTGGTTTGAGAGATTTAAGAATCGTAGTGGCATACACAGTGTGATAAGGCCTGTTCTGGAAGAAAATGCCAAACAGGACCTACAGTACTCAGGAGGAAAAGGCACTCCCAGGACACAGTGTCTCATCAGTCATTGCTGCATCTTCAATAAAGGTAAGTGTCATTTATTCTTCATTTAGTAGACTAGTACATGCACAATATATACTGTGCATGTACTACTCTACTATTGTGCATGTATCCTTCTCTTTGTGTGTGGGAAAATGTATATTTCATGTGGTAAAATTTTTTTTTTCATATTTTTGGGTGTCTTGCACGGATTAATTTGATTTCCATTATTTCTTATGGGGAAAATTCATTCACATAGCGATTATTTCGCATAACAATTACCCCTCTTGCACGGATTAAAATCATTAACTGGGGGTCCACTGTATATGCTTGTACATGTATGTGTAGTGTGACCTAAGTGTAAGTAGAAGTAGCAAGACGTACCTGAAATCTTGCATGTGTATGAGACAGAAAAAAAAAGACACCAGCAATCCTTCCATCGTGTAAAACAATTACAGGCTTCCGTTTTACACTCACTTGGCAGGACGGTAGTACCTCCCTGGGCAGTTGCTGTGTACCAACCTATTACTTAGAATTAGATAAATTATGATAGATAAATAAGCCGTAGAGTTGATATTACGGAAGTTATTGAAGTACGGAATTCCATTGGAATGGATTAATTGCATTTCAATTAGTTTAAAAGAGGAAAATTGACTCTGCAAATGAGCAAATCCAGATGCGAGCAAGGTCACGGAACGGATTAAACTCGTGAGTGGAGGTTCCACTGTATATCTCTAATCTGATTAATATTGACATTCATGAGAAAGGATGACCTGAATGATAAGTGGTTTGAACATTAGAAAGACAATAAGTACAGTTTGAATGAAATCTTATGATTAGTTTTCAGTTTAGTGGTCATGTGCTGTTGCCTCTAAGGACTATTCACTCTATGTATGTTCAAACTGTTCATACTGTTCTCTACTCTGGGTACATTTAGACTGTTGTCTCCAGGGACTATACTCTAGGTATGTTCAGACTGTTCAAACTGTTCTTCACTCTAGGTACATTCAGGCTGTTGTCTCCAGGGACTGTATACTCCAGGTATGTTCAGACTGTTGCCTTCAGGAACTTTACACTGAATATGCTTATACTGTTGCCTCCTGAAACTGTGTATTTAGAGACTGTTGCCACCGCATGCCTTAAAATCCACAATGTCATACTGACAGTCATTCTCTTAGCATGTTTTTCTCACATCTTCCATTAGCTTCTTCAATGTCTTTTCGGATTATCCAAAGAGGAAAAAATAAATTATTATTTGTGTGGTGTGAACTATTGTTATTTAATATTTGTGTGGTGTGAACTGTTATTATTTGTGTGGTGTGAACTACTTGTAAACCCCCCTCAGTGCCATTCCTGTAAAATTACGGCTTTGAAGCCAGGGTTTGTCCCGTAATACAATGCCAAAATTTTAGTGGCTTTCAGTCTTGCTGGAGAAAACTGGTAGGCCTGTATATGAGAGAATGGGTCTGCATGGTCAGTGTGGGCAGTATAAAAAAAAAACTGTAAGCAAACAATGTACATATAATGAGAAAAAACTATGATTGTGTTTTTGGTTTAAAACAGTGAATTTGTGGTGTATTTTCGTATGGTATTTATGGTTGTATTCTCGTTTTCTTGGTCTCATTTGATAGAATGGAAGATATTTTACAGAAATAGATGTGATTTGTAATGGTTTACCAACTAAAAGTAGCTTGAAATTGAGCTCCAAGTATCAGAAATGTTAGAGTTTTGATGATGTTCAAGAGTAAACAAATCACATCCTGCATCCAATACACATCAACTGGCCAGTCTAATATGCACTCACGAATGCACTGATATTTATACAATCATTACCATCATGCAGTAGTCTGAAAAATAGCAAGTCATCTATTTTTTGTGTGAATAAAAATTCAAAATGAAAAGCAAATATAATATAAGAGGGGCCTGGAGACATGACTAATGAACAGAGAAAATGTTATTTTTAGCAGCAGAAATGTCCGCATTGTTTATTCTGGCCTCTATTTTGAAATTGACCTTTCTTGAATTTTGTGCAAAATTGGCCAAATTAGCAATTTCTGATCACTTTTTTGTGTAGTTAAAATAGGTAAATGGGTGGTTTCTTGTACTCAGTCGACATAATAAAAGGAGTTGTAGCAAAATCGCTATAAGTTTGGTCAAGTGGAACAAAGGAATTGGCCCAAAATAGGGCTCAATGTGGGCGAAATTGCCAATGCGTAAATATCGCCGAGACCAATAACTTTGTGAGAGTGTAATTCCATGAGTTTTCTATAAAATTTCATACTTTGGGTGTCCTTACCATTGGGAAAAGATTCTCTATCATTTCATAGGAAAAAGTTTTTTTTTTTTTTTTTTTTTAAATTCTTTGACACTGAGAGCAAGTTTGTGAGCAGGGGTCTCGACAGTGACAGGGTTAAATTCTTCGACATTATGAGCAAGTTTGTGAGCAAGGGTCTTGACACTTAAAGGGTTAAATTAATCAACTTGCCATTTAATTCATTTACATGATCCTACAATTCCTCCATGCTTTTCATTGCTTCTTTTCAGAGGATGCTTATCAGCGGCAAGCAGTCATTGACGGGGAGCCGGCTCTGCTTGATATTCTTGACACAGCTGGTCAAGTAAGGGCTATATTTAATATATTATGTTGTGATATTTGTTGCTTGTTTTATTTGCATTCTATGTTTAGTATTTTAAAAATGCCTGAAAAATAATTATAGAAAAGAATTCATACATTTATCTGCACATTCATTTGTCTATTTTTCTAGCAGAATTTGATGAACTACAGACATAACATTGCATGACCTAGAGTTTTAATATTAGAAAATTCTCATAGAAGGTATCATTCTGATGACTCGTATTGCTCACACCTAAGGTCTAATTTAAGACTATAAGGTAGATGAAAATTATTCAGAGAATTGGAATATTTATTGGCAAATACTAAAGATGAGTATGAGATTGAAAATCATTAGAATCTATATTCATTTTTTTTGGGGGGAGGTGGCTTTGCCCATGTTAGTTTCAGACCTAGGTAATGGGATTTTTTCTCATTTGTACTCAGCCTGGGTAAAATAAAGTAATATACAATATTTATTTCTTGTAGACTATTAAAAACTGATATAGTAAACCATTATAAATTGCATGTTTTGATGTGCATTTTTTATAATATGTTCTGCACTAAATTTATATATTGAAGCCAGATTATTCTATAGCATGATGCAGTTTAGCCTGGGGTAATTCTGCACCAACCTGTGCTTCTAAAGTGTCCTACTCAAATCTACAGAAACCTACAAAGAACATATCCTCATCTTCTAGGTAGCAGTCATACTGTCACTTAAAGTTGCAGAGACAAGTATAATTTGAAAAAAAGCTACTTCTGAGAGCACAAGAATGTAGATGAATGGTGGCAGGCAGGCAGGCAGGGTGAGTGAGGAGTTTGTTTTATACATACCCAGTATAGATAGCTACCCTTACTACCATTCCTAGCACCCTCCCAGTTTCCTAAGGTACATACCTGTATTTTGCCTTTTTATTAGTTTCTTTTGAGATTAATTGTACAGTGCCTCAGTATTAAATTGCCTAAGTTACATACCTGTAAAGGGCCTCTTGATTAAATTTGAAATTGTTCCTATCCCTAATTCTTGCTCATTTTTCTACATTGTGAATAGCCTTGAAAAGGCTTACTCATTTACTTGGTATATATGAATGGTATATAATACGGACAAGATAAAGAATTAGACACGTGTAACATCTGGGTATCTTTATTTGTAGACATTTTGCCAGCCAGTGGCTTTATCAGTATAATACAAGGGCATAATGTGAAGAATGTAGAATTATATACAAATGATGAGGTAATCAGTCCCTCACCCTTGGAGTTGGTGAAGAGCACTGTAGTCTTGAAAAATCTGAAGCACAGGCTTGAAGCTTAGCACATATATACTGGCATCAGGCGAGGGATGTGCAGAAGATGACTGTCACTGTTAGGTGGAATTCCCCAGTGGGAGTAGGTCATATCTATGGAATAGGCCAGTAGTAAGCATGAAGGTTGTGGAGATGTCCTCTGTATTAAGATTCCCTGTTTTTGCAGTGTCTGACAAGTTGTACGTGAATGGTATATAATATCGACAAGATGAAGAATTAGATGTGTGCAACATCTGGGTATCTTTATTTGTATATAATTCTACATTCTACATATTATGTCCTTGTATTGATAAAACCACTGGTTGGTGAAACTTCTATAAATAAAGCTACCCATATGTTGCACATGTGTCTAATTCTTGTTTTCTTTACATGGTGTTGGTGGTTAGATTACTCTTTTGCCAGTGCCTGGGGCCGCATTCACTAAGCATGCTCCCATGTGACTGCCTTGCCTGGAGACCAGTATACACTGTTTTCACTTGCCTAGAAGTTGAGGATGCTTTTAGAGCTGTGGTCCATTGTTGGACAACAGTGCTTCATTGTTGAGAAGACAGAGATAAAATAAGGGGTTCAGTACTGGCCTTGCTGAGTCTGTCAGCTGGTAATACACTTCTTCTTGTGATCTGATGGGTTGGGTACTAGCTCACTCATATATTCACTTCCCAGACTATAAAGTTTTCATGTTTTTGGATAGCAGTCCACTTTGTCTGCTGTAGGCTCAAATGAGAGAAATGTTTCTTGGTCTGCATTATTACTTGTATTAACAATAATATTTTATTTCAACATGATACAGTGGAACCTCAAATATCGAACTATCCTTTCCAGGAGTTAGTTCTAAATTTGAAAAGTCTGAAAAGCGAAGCAATATTTACCATAAGAAATAATGGAAATACAATTAATCCGTTCCAGAAACCCAAAACTTTTCACAAAAAAAAATACATTTTATAGAGATTAATTATAGTTTTACATACAACAAATATAGTGTTCAATTATGTATTAATAGATTTAAATAAACATATAAAATAACATTTTACTTACCTTTCTTGAAGATTGGTGATGGAATCTGGAAGATAGGGAGGAGGAGCGAGGGAGTTGGGGTTAGTGTTTGGAAGGAGAATCCCCCTCCATGAGGACTTCAGGTATCAAAGCCCTCTCTGGGGTTACTTCCCTTCTCTGTCTTTTAATGCCACTAGGACCATCTTGAGAGTCACTGGACCCCTGTCTCACAAAATAACTGTCCACAGTCCTCTGTTTCTGGTGACCCTTTAAGATTTCCCTAAAATGGGATTTGGTTCTGTCACTGAACTTGTTGCAAAGATGGCTTGTTTCAGCTTGCTCAGGGTGGTACTTCTCCACAGACATTTGGACATCATTCCACTTGGGCATCATTCCACTTCTGTATTATTTCCTTCTTCACATCTATGGTGTTTCTCACTTTCTTTCCCACAGGGGTACCACTAGCAAGTTTCTTTGGGCCCATTGTAGCTTATTTCACAGTCCCACAAGCACTAAACATAATGAAATAATCGTAAAATGTTTGAATGAGAGCGCAGGTTAGTGCTCACTCAAGCATCAACAAAACCAGACTGGCTCGTGGCGCCTGCGTGGGGACGCGGACAGAGCGGGCTGCCGGACAGGTCTGGTACCCAGCGGTTCAAAAATAGGGGCGAGTTCGATAATAGGGACAAAGTTGGTTCAAAAAAAGGGTTCTATTTTCGAAGAGTTCGATAAGCGATACGTACGAAATTTGAGGTTCCACTGTACAGGTGTCCCTCAACATTCGCGAGGGTTAGGGGATCAAGAGCCTCACGAATGTTGAAAAACCGTGAATGTTTGGTGCCCCAATATATTGTAGGGAAATATAATACAATACTGCTTAACTTGTTGAACCATGAACAATCATAAAATACATGAAAATGTCATAAGTTGTACTAAATATATACATGTTATGCTTTAATAACATGTATGTTATTAAATACCACAGACTCCACCACTGCCTCCACCACTTCCTCAACCAATGCGAGTCCCTACTACCCTCCCTCCGAACGCCGCAACTGGCAGCCAGCCCTCCCACCACTCAGTGTGGTGAGTGTTTTGTTTGTTCATTATTTGCTATTAAACTACAGTATAAATAATGTAAACACATTCATGACTGCATATTGGAATGGCTATTTGAACAGGTATTGGACGGTGACATCATGTGTTTACTCTTGAACACAGCGAAGAATCAAACATTTCTGCTACTGCTAATAATAACAATAGTAATAATAATAATAATAATAATAATAATACGATATAATTGAAGAAGGAAATTGTACAAAAATACGAGGGAGTGGTTGACACATCGTCAGTGTGGCTTTGTTTATGCTGGAGTGAACATTAGTCTCCCTGCTCTTCCAAACATTTCACAATAATTAAGTGGTTGAGGCAGTGATAGAGGCAGTGATAGAGGCAGTGATAGAGGCAGTGGTAGAGGCAGTGGTAGAGGCAGTGGTAGAGGCAGTGGTAGAGGCAGTGATAGAGGCAGTGATAGAGCAGTGTAAGCAGTGATAGAGGCAGTGATAGAGACAGTGGTAGAGGCAGTGGTAGAGGCAGTGATAGAGACAGTGGTAGAGGCAGTGGTAGAGGCAGTGATAGAGGCAGTGATAGAGGCAGGATAGCAGTGGTAGAGGCAGTGATAGAGGCAGTGGTAGAGGCAGTGGTAGAGGCAGTGGTATTTACTAACATATACGTATGTTATAAATAATAATAGAACATGTTAATATTAATAACATTTATAATAATAATAATAAATGTTATTCATAATGTACTATTATTATTTATAACATATATGTTAGTAAATATCACTGCCTCTACCACTGCCTCTATCACTGCCTCTATCACTGCCTCTATCACTGCCTCTATCACTGCCTCTATCACTGCCTCTACACACATGCCTCTACCACTGCCTCTACCACTGCCTCTACCACTGCCTCTATACTGCCTCTATCACTGCCTCTATCACTGCCTCTATCACTGCCTCTACCACTGCCTCTACCACTGCCTCTACCACTGCCTCTACCACTGCCTCTACCACTGCCTCTATCACTGCCTCTACCACTGCCTCTATCACTGCCTCTATCACTGCCTCTATCACTGCCTCTACCACTGCCTCTACCACTGCCTCTACACTGCCTTACCACTGCCTCTACCACTGCCTCTACTGCCCTCACTGCCTCTATCACTGCCTCTACCACTGCCTCTACACTGCTATCACTGCCTCTATCACTGCCTCTACCACTGCCTCTACCACTGCCTCAACCACTCCAGTCACACTCAATCTGCAAGCACCAAACAATGAATTATTGTGAAATGTTTGGAAGAGCAGGGAGACTAATGTTCACTCCAGCATAAACAAAGCCACACTGACGATGTGTCAACCACTCCCTCGTATTTTTGTACAATTTCCTTCTTCAATTATATCGTTATTATTATTATTATTATTATTATTATTATTATTATTATTATTATTATTATTATTATTATTATTAGCAGTAGCAGAAATGTTTGATTCTTTGCTGTGTTCAAGAGTAAACACATGATGTCACCGTCCAATACCTGTCCAAATAGCCATTCCAATATGCAGTCATGAATGTGTTTACATTATTTATACTGTAGTTTAATAGCAAATAATGAACAAACAAAACACTCACCACACTGAGTG